GAGTCTTACTTGGCCTTGGAGATGAGCAGGGAGTCCCGGAGGAGGAGGAGGTCCCTCTTCTTGGTCCGCCGGCCCTGGGTCACCCGCACGCGCTGGTGTTCGCGCACCTCGGGTGATGCCGGCAGGAGCAGGCACTGCTGCCCGGGCTCAGGGTCGTCCCTGCGGAGCAGAGGGCGTCGGGCGTGAGCAGGGCGGCTGCTGCGGGGCCCGGCTGTGCCCAGCGTGTCCCCGAGCCATGGCGGGAGCTCACCTGGACCCCTGGCAGCAGTGCACCTGTCCCATCCTGACGAGATCGGGGAAGCCTCACGTGGGACACAGCTGTGGGGCTCAGGAGAGTTCCCAGTTGGCCCACAGGAGGCTACCGAGGGGTCTCGCTACTGACACGCGATGCCACAAGCACACAGGGCAAGAGCTGGGCTCTCCCCCGTGACACTCTGTGCTGGCACAGCAACGTCCCTGCGGGCAGCGGGGCCTTTTGTGGGCCAGCGCCAGTTCCAACATTGTGATGTCAACAGCGGCACCGGGAGGGCTTCCAGGGGGCTCTCCCCAGTGTGCCCATGTCTCCCTCCTACTGGGGAGCCCAGACCTGGGCACAGCATGGCAGGCACAGCCTCACCAGCACTGAGCAGAGGGGAAGGGTCACCTCCCTCCAGCTGCTGGCAAGGCTTTGCCCAGTGCATCCCCGGGTGCCACTTGCTGCCGCCTTTGGGCAAGGGCACTTTGCTGGCTCCTGGTCCACTTGGTGTCAAGCAGGGCCCCCACGGCCTTCTCTGCCACGCTGCTTTCCAGCAGCTTTATAGAATCAGAGACTCATAGAATCGCCTAGGTTGGAAGGGACCTTTAAGATTATCAAGTCCAACCATCAGCCCAACACTCCCCAAACTACCACTAAGCCATGTCCCTAAGCACCACCTCTAACCCGTCTCTTCAAGACCTCCAGGCATGGCGATTCTCGTACTCCCTCCTACTGGGGAGCTGCTTTCCAGCAGCTTTAGTGTGCCTCAGCACCACGCCTGCCCGGCTTTTATATACCTCCAGGGATGGCAACTCCACCACTGCCCTGGGCAGCCTGTTCCGATGGTTGATAACCCTTTTGGTGAACAAGTTCCAATGTCTGATAAACTTTTTGGTGAAGAAATTTTTCCTAAGATCCAACCTGAACCTCCCCTGGTGTAACTTGAGGCCATTTCCTCCTGTTCTATCACTTGCTATTTGGGAGAAGAGACCAAACCCCACCTCGCTACAAGCTCTTCTCAGGTAGTTGTAAAGAGCAAGAATCACAGAATCCCAGAATCACATGGGGTTGGAAGGGACCTCCAGAGATCATCTAGTTCAACCGCCCTGCCAAAGCAGGTCCACCTACAGCAGGTTGCACAGGAACGTGTCCAGGCGGGTTTTGAACTTCTCCAGAGACAGAGACTCCACCACCTCTGTGGGCAGCCTGTTCCAGGGCTCTGCCACCCTCAAAGTGAAGAATAGGTGTGTGTGTGCTTTATATGGGAAAAAGCGCAAAATAAACCTGTAATAGGTCAAGCGGTCGGGAAGAATGTGAACTCCAACTTCTCAACCAATGAGAAGGGAGACAGAGACTCAAGCGGCCGGGATAAAGGTATAAAATACCTGAAAGATAAAAGATCAATGTGCATCTATTTTTGGTGCACCCGATTCAGCGCTGTTTCGTATTAATAAATTATTTTTTTAACCTTTGCTTCGGTGACTTTGTCCTCTTTAAATTCTAAGATGTGAGTCGGTGTTTCTCACACGTGTCAATATGGAACAATGCGGGGGCCGCATGGTGAATTGTGACCCTCTCGTATATGTAACCTTTAACCGTTCTGTTTGTTCTTGTATAACCGTGGGCTTAGGAGAAGCAGGACGGTATGTACATAGTTTCTATTTCTTGCAAAAACCCCCTAACGAACATTCTAGAACACCAGCTGAAACCAGTTTTTGTTGCTGGCCGCATGGTGCTGAGCGAAGTGCTGAGTGAAGAAGTTCCTCCTCGTGTTTAGGTGGAACTTCTTATATTCAAGTTTGTGCCCCTTTCCTCTTGTCTTGTCACTGGGCACCACTGATAAAAGACTGGCCCTGTCTCCTTGTCACCCTCCCTTTAAGTGTTTATAAGCACTGATCAGATCCCCCCTCAGTCTTCTCAAGACTGAAAAGACCCAAGTCCCTCAGCCTTTCCTCATAAGAGAGATCCTCCAGGCCTCTAATCATCTTTATAGCCCTCTGCTGTACCCTCGCCAGCAGTTCCCTGTCCTCCTTGAACTGGGGAGCCCAGAACTGGATACAGTGCTCCAGACGGGGCCTCACTAGGGCAGAGTAGAGAGGGAGGATAACCTTCCTCGACCTGTTGGCCACACTCAGGGGGCTGGGTACTCGGGGAAGAACTGGCTTTGCTCTCAAAGACCATGGCAAAGTATCACTTTGCAGACTGAGGCAGGGTATCACTTGCCACTGCCTTTGGGCCAGGGCACCTTCCCGGCTCCTCGTCCACCAGATGTCCCGCAGGATCCCCGTGGCCTCCTCTGCCATGTTGACTTCCAGCAGTTTTGCCAAGCTGCTTTTTGTCATGAGTATCTGAAGATGTGTGCTGGGATGGTCTGTGCCCGTACCGGTGCCATACTCAGTTATTTCCCCCCTCTTAGAATCATCGAATGGTTTGGGTTGGAAGGGACCTTAAAGATCATCGAGTTCCAACCCCCTGCCATGGGCAGGGACACGTCCTACTAGAGCAGGTTGCTCAAAGCCCCGTCCAGCCTGGCCTCGAACACTTCCAGGGATGGGAAATCCACAGCTTCTCTGGACAGCCCGTTCCAGTGTCTCAGCACCCTCACAGGGAAGAATTTCTTCCTAAGATCTCATCTAAATCTCCCCTCTTCCAATTTAAAACTGTTACCCCTTGTCCTGTCACTACACTTCCTGACAAAGAGTCCCTCCCCATCTCTCCTGTAGGCTTCCTTCAGATTTTGAAAGGCTGCTGTAAGGTCTCCCCGCAGCCTTCTCTTCTCCAGGCTGAAGAACCCCAGCTCTCTCAGCCTGTCTTCGTAGGAGATGTGCTCCATCATTCTGATCATCTTTGTGGCCCTTCGCTGGACCCGTTCCAACAGGTCCATGTCCTTCCTGTGCTGAGGACTCCAGAGCTGGACACAGCACTCCAGGTGGGGTCTCACGAGCGCAGAGCAGAGGGGCAGAATCGCCTCCCGTGACCTGCTGGCCACGCTTCTCTTGAAGCAGCCCAGGTTGTGGTTGGCGCTCTGGGCTGCCAGTGCACCTTGCCGGCTCATGTTGAGCTTCTCATCCACCAACACCCCCAAATCCTTCTCCTCAGGGCTGCTCTCTAGCCATTCTCCGCCCAATCTGTATTTGTGCCTGGGATTGCCACGTCCCAGGTGCAGGACCCTGTCCTTGGCTTGGTTGAACTTCATGCGATTTGCACGAGCCCACCTCTCAAGTCTGTCCAGGTCCCTCTGGATCTGGATCGCATCTCTTCCTGCAGGCCTCCTTGTGCCACTGGCGTAAAGTTGAGAAGGGTACATTTCTTCCAGCCAAGGCAGAGGTCCAAGTCGAAAAGTGCTCTCTCTTGTTATGAGACATGGAGAAAGTGGACGCACCCTGGTGACAGAGTCCACAGACGGAGTTTTCACAGAACTCCACATTTTCTTTCTTCCTTAACTCCAACTTGGACTTTGCTCCACCTACATGTCGGAAATGTGTGCAAGCATGCTTCTTCTCTAAGCTTAGCTTTAAAAGACACTTCAGCTTCGGTGGAGGATTCACGCGAACAGAATGAAAGGTGTTTTTGTGAAAACAGTACTCCAAAGACTTCCTTGAATAGTAAATGCTTCTAAATTTTTCAGGTATGCAAGGGTATAAGAAGGAATAGCACAGAGGTACACTGTTTTTAGAGCAGGTTTTATTTCTGGCCTGTCTCTGTTGAAAATGTGTCTAGCAGGACAGGGAGGATAAGTTGATGTTAACCTAATGTTGTTATAAGATAGCCATTCCATGGCTAAGTGCTCTTCTTCCTCCTGGAGAAACTGTCTGCTCATGGCTTAGATGGGTATACTCTCCACTGGGTTAAAAACTGGCTGGAGGGCCGGGCCCAGAGAGTGGTGGTGAATGGAGTTCCATCCAGTCGGCGGCCGGTCACGAGTGGTGTCCCACAGGGCTGGGTACTGGGACCCGTTCTCTTTAACATCTTGGTCAATGATCTGGAGGAGGGGATCGAGTGCACCCTCAGTTAGTTCGCAGATGACACCAAGCTGGGTGGGAGTGTCGACCTGCTGGAGGGTAGAGAGGCCTTGCAGAGGGATCTGGACAGGCTGGATCGATGGGCCAAGACCAACAGGATGAGTTTCAAGAAGGCCAAGTGCCGGATCCTGCACTTGGGTCACACTAACCCCATAGAGTGCTACAGGCTTGGGGCAGAGTGGCTGGAGAGCTGCCTGGCAGAAAAGGACCTGGGGGTGTTGGTCGACATTCAGCTGAACATGTGTGATGCTAACAATCTGTGTGCCTCATATGGCTTCTTTTGCACACATCAGGAGCACAACCTGATCCTGACAATGCCAGGGAGTCCATGGCAAAGCCTGAAACTTTGGATTTGAGTCCTAACCTGGTGCCTGGGTATCTCCAGCAAACAAACAATGAAAAAGAAAACAAACAAACAAACAAACAACAACAACAAAAACCAAAAAAGGAAAAATTTCTGATAACTTCTGCCTGGAAATGTGGCTGCAGTGGCTGCGGATAATTGATAACAGCATAGACACAAAGCAGACACGCTGTCCCAGTATTTGTTGGCAAGAATTGCCCAGGAACTCAATCCAAAGTGCTGACAGGAGGGCGAGATGGGGAGGGAGCCTGAACACGTTGCACAGAGGAATTTCTATCACATGCTACGCTTCACACGTGGTGTTTTCCCCCACCACCACCACCTACTCACACAGTAGGCTTGTGACTTTAATCTGTTTATTTTTAGTGGGAAGCATGAGTAGGTAAATACGTGCTCTGAGATGATATTTTAGGCAAGGAGGTTCAATTACGTATGTGTGCTAATTGTTGTTATGTTTCTGGCTATTATTGATTTTGGACTCGCTCCTGCCCACCCCCACGCAGCAGAAGAGGAGAAGAAGTTGTTTGGCTGCTATCACAAACACTCGCTGCTACTACTGTACAAACCCATCAGGGTGAGGGCTTTTTTCCCCCTTTGGTTCTCAGCTAAACAAGTCGGAGCTGTTGGAAGCTGCCAAAAAGGTCTTGGGAAAGAAGCCTCTTGTTTGTCTGCAGGACGAGCGGAGGAGGGACTATGGCCATCACGTTGTCCCTGCTCTACACTGGCAAAAGGCAACCACCAAGATGTTCAGCTGAGACGTGGGCTGAGCCTCTGCTATTGCTGCTTCTTTCGCCACAACAAGTGATGAGATCTGCTGTACCAGCACAGAAACTGGCTACCAGCTTTGCCCACCCTCTAAATTCGTCGGTGACTTAACGCCTCGCTGCCTCCAACAAGTCAACGAAGCTGCTCGGGGCTCAGGTCTTTCTCCTCCTGCTTACGTGGTAAGTCTGAGATCCTTCAAGTAGCTGTGTAAGCACTTGGCCATGCCCCAGTCACCCCAAATCCCACAAGCAGCACGAGATTCCTCAGTCATGCACGGACATCCTTGCACGGGAACGCTTGCGGATGAAAACCTTATAACCTGGTAAATTTGCACAGAACTCAGGGTCTTTATGCAAATCTCTCCTGACTACTTATTTCGTTCAGACCTTTTGGGTCAAAACCTCTGAGGGTAAATACCTGTTTTCCTTGGAAACGCTCAAGTTCTATTCCAAACTTGATCTACATGGTTTGGATAACTTCATAAAAATAAATCACAGTATAAATAATGCTGAAAACCTTAAAGCAGATGGGCAAATTTATTACAAGGTATGGTAAAATGACATGATTTTGATTAAAAACATGAACAGAAAGGCAGACCAGAGTTTAGTCTTCATATGACCCAGACCAACATGGACAAGCATGGACCCATCTTAATGTCAGCCAAAGCTTTCCCACTCTGTTTGTTGTCCTGATCATAAATCAAACTCTAATTAACCACCACCACCACAAGCAAACAATCTCCTCTAATCACCTTGCCATGACAATGTTTCTTTGTAATATTGCAGATGCTCAGGGACATCTTATAAACAGGATGTAAGTGAATATCTATTAAAAAATTAACTAGATTACTGTAGTTGCTAAATATTATTACAAGTTTCATAATACTGTGTGCTTTATGGCCAACATATAAAAGAGCAGCTGCTGTTAGAGGAGTTTGTTTTTCCACTCACAATCAAATTTTGGCTTGTGGAAGGGTGTTATTTTGCTACCCTCATTCTTTTTCTGGGAATTGTTGCACCAAGCACAGACAGAAAAAAAAAACTGCCTTTCTAACTTTTTTTTTTCACGTTTTTCTTTATTTTTGTCTTTAATCCACCCACTTTCTCTCCTGTCGATTGCTGATAGCTCTCCTCTGTTATGTTGGAGACAGCTCATTGTGTCTGCATTTTAATTGCTAAACTGGGGGGTTTCCTAGATCCCGTGTCTGGGTTAAGTGTCCCAAACCAATTCCTGAATCCTTATTGCAATGTTAATTTTTTTTTTTCTCAGCTTCTTGAGTAAATTACAGCAACGAAAATATGGGATGTGCCTTTTGACACCTATACCCAAGGGAGAGAGCTCCACCAGTCCTGCCAGGAGAAGGGTGACAACCCAGCATGCATCAGCTACCAGGGAGGAACATCTGGACCAGGACATGACTTTCCTGTCATGTCCTGCAGCACCTTGAAGGTCTACTCAAGGTCTACTTGAAGGTCTACTGCTTGATTCACAGTCATTGTATAAAGCCAGGGGCAGACAGGGGAGCACAGGGAAGCTCTAAGAGCAAACAGCAACAGGGATGCCCAACAAAAGCCATCAAGGTTCCTGCACAGGGGAAGGGGGACCTACAGGAATGATGGGGAGGGACTCTTGATGAGGGAGGGGAGCCATAGGATGAGGGGTAACAGTTTTAAACTGAAAGAGGGGAGATTTAGATTAAATACTAGAAAGAAATTCTTTGCTGTGAGGGTGATGAGAGCCTGGCCCAGGTTGCCCGGAGAAGTTGTAGCTGCTCCATCCCTGGAGGGGTTCAAGGCCACATTGGATGAGGCTTTGAGCAACCTGCTCTAGTGGGAGGTGTCCCTGCCCATGGCAGGAGGGTGGAACTCAATGATCTTTAAGGTCCCTTCCAACCCATACCATTCTATGAGTCTATGATTCTATGTGTTGATGATGTAGGTCTCTCTCTGCAAGTGTCTCCAGGGGAATTTTGCCAAGGATGAGGCATAGAATGGAAAAGCACAGCCATGTATTTTTGGAAGTCTAATAAATAAGCAAAAAGAGCCACATCCAGGCAGAAGCTGTTGGTCTCTTCTCCTTGGATGTGAGAAGACAGAGGGAACAATGTCTATGACAGAACAGAAATGGAGTAGGTGTCAAACGTTTTCCTACAGACCTTTCTGCAAGGGCTCCTCTACCTCTAGCCTTGTTCTGTGTATTGATGTTTGACTAGGTCTTGATTTAGGTCCTCTGTGTTTCCTTCCATTTACCCTCTGTCCTCCTGATGTATTTAATCTGTGCTTCTCCTGTCATACAGCCGTGATGCTGAATGTTGGCACAGGGCTCCGATCTCTCTTCACCCTCTATCCTGACACAACCCATAGGGACCCCCTCCATTGGGACCTGCATTTCAAACACACTTTTTTTCCAGAAATGACACATTTTCTTTAGAGAGATCCCATCTCACCACCTTCTGTTGACTCCCAGACTTTTGACTCATTTTTTCTCCTTTCCTGTCTTTGCTGCAGCACATCACTTGTTCTTTTCTTTCATTCCCAAGTCCACACTTCCCTCTTGGAGATCAAGACCTCACACAGTACGCAATCACGCACTCGAAGTTATAAACACAGCTGTCCTAAGACTTCTCCTTTTCTACCTGCACCACGCCATCCGATCTTCATAACTTGAGTTTTTTCCTGCCAGGACCAAGATCCAGACCATTATTTCACGCTGCACTGCCTTATCTCTATCTTCTCATCTAATTTCTTTTTTTGTCTCTTCACATTCTTGGCCGTGTGCCTTTGCCCCTTTCCTGTGTTCATCTGTCAAACGTCCTCTTTTTCTTCAAAGCGCTGCTTAAAATTCAGCTCTCCAAGCAGCACTCCTCTTTTCTAATCACTGGTAACCCCAGATAATCCTTGCCATGAAATATTTTCTCGTGTTCTGCCATGTGTTTAACTTGAATCCTTTTAGATTTCAAAGTCTCCTAGACAGGGAGTATGTCTTATTTGTATTCTATAAAATACTGTTCACATCTATGCTGCTCTACAAATGTTATCTCATAAATGGAATTCACTGCAGGGTATTTATGATCAGCCGCAGAAGGATGAGGAGGACCAGCTAAGACGTGAAGTTAACCCTTTAAAGCCTAAAATAAAGAACCCAGCAACAGGAAGAAATTGATTTTGAAGTGAGATTTTGCTTTGCACTGTAAACAAATCATTATTTGCAGCTACATTTGAGCAAACAGCTGAGTTTTGCTTCATTGCTTGCATCCAGGAGGAACTTGCTCTGAAGCACGTGCTCTGAGTTGTGAATAAGCATCTCACATTGCTTTGCACTCGTAGCAATTGCTGTGCTAAGAGTCAAGGTCTTGACAACCACAGGACCTTGCTCAGAACCATGTTCTGACCCCGTTTGCCTTATTGGGAGAGTTGTAGCCCATGAAGTTGGGCTGCCAGGAGCATGTCTACTGCCATAAGTCAGGACAGCAGGGAATGAGATAGAAAAGATAAAAGGGGGTTTTGGAAACAAAGAAGAATCCAGGATGACCTTCAAGTTCTTTTACAGTCACTGAAGTGGTACCTCCTGACCTTCTATGTAGTGGGAGAATCATTTGGGGATAGAGGGAAAGGCATCTTATAATATTAGACCCCAGATCTCGTGCTCCAGATCTAAAAACTCCATCGCTGCAAACACACTCAGCGTTTGCCCAGCCACCCTCAGCAAATGGTTCTGCTGAATGTATGACAGCAGCTGCTGTGTCCTGCATAAAAAGTCAGCACCTAGATGGCTTTTCCCTGCAAATTCAAGTTACAACACACATTAACATCCTTATATTCCACCAAAGCGAAGAACGATTTCCACTGCCTTTGCAAGCATGGCCTTGATGCTGCGGCCAGGAGGAAGGAAAATGTGTGTTCCCAGCAGTTAATAAAGCCCAGTGGCTGTGAATGCTCCCCAGGGCATCTCAGCATCAGCAGCAGCTGAGCCATGCAAAGGGTAGTGCTTCCAGGGGAGAAGCAAGGAGTTGCTGGCACGTGCTTTCGGAAAGCAGCACACTTAACCAGTCACTAGCTGATATACACCATTCAAAAAAAAAATCTATGCTTTTATATGGGCATTTATCAGGGATTGGAGCAATAGGAGGAGGGGTAACAGTTTTAAACTGAAAGAGGGGAGATTTAGATTAGATATTAGGAAGAAATTCTCTCCTGTGAGGGTGGTGAGACACTGTCCCACAGAGAAGCTGTGGCTGCCCCATTCCTGGAGGGGTTCAAGGCCAGGCTGGATGGGGCTTTGAGCAACCTGGTCTGGTGGGAGGTGTCCCTGCCCATGGCAAGGGGATAGAACTCAATGATCTTTAAGGTCCCTTGCAACCCAAACTATTCTATGATTCATAAAAATATAAATACATAAAAGTTGCCAGAAGTGCTGCAAACTTCTAGCTAATGGCACTGAAAAGTCCATAATTTCCTAGAGCATATGCAGGTGCACAACAAAATTTAAGGTGAAACAAGCCATTTCCTTCTCATTTGAAAAATAAATCTCAGCATATAATTAATTGGAATTGAAGCTCATGAGCTGGTTTCAGCTAGTGTGGCTCTACTACCGTCTGCGTGGGCTGTTCAATGTGCACCCCTTTGAGCCCAGCCAAATCCTCTTAACCGAGTCCTGCAAAACATTTTGTCTCATATTAGAACTACAGACACCTTGGACATCACTGCGTGGCAACATCTGTATCATTGTAGCTATGACTTCTAAGGATTCTTCAGTCTAACCCACAGTCTCAGCCCAGAATTAGGTAATAAAGATTATATATAGAGAGAGATAATCTTTATATGTATAAATAACATATAACCTAATAGCAAAATAAGGCTAAAAATGAGCACTGCTCATTATCGACAGCGTAGGCTTCCTCCAAGGAGCAGAGGGTGAGGGGAAAGCCCTGGAAGAGGACATCAGTTGTGTTTTGTTTTTCAGGCATCACCCAGGGACATCGCAGGGAAGGGAGGAATCGGGCTGGAAGAGGGCAATGATTTGCCAATTAAAAGCTGCCAATTAGGGAGAGAAGTTGCAGGGCCCTGTAGGGAGCTGCTGAGCCAGGACACCAGATGAGCAGTGGAAGTGGCAGCTTGGGATGGCCAACTGGCCCGAGGAAAGACACAGGAGTTGGTTAATTAGATGAGGAGGGCTGGAGACCAGAGGGAAGACTCTAGAAGATGCATTTTTCTGTTTATTTATATTTTTTTTTTCTTATTTAGCCCTAAGCCCACACCGTATCCAGGCAACTCGGGATCACAAATGGATTTTATCCTTACGCTACCCTGTGGAGCAGGGAGATGGCCAAACGCTCGGGGGAGCCAAGTTGAAGAGCAGAGACAGTGATTTATTTGCCTGGGGTCACAGAGACCATCTAAACCCAGATGATGTGAGCCCTAGCTCAGTGTCTTCACCACAAAGGCATGCTTTCCCCGAAGGGGGAAAAGCAACCTGCTGGTATTTATTTGAGAATTTATTATCTATTTCTTCATTTGAGAAGATAGGCCTGAGGATAAGAAAAACACTCATAGAGGAGAGAGAGAGAAGTTTCACACACATGCTGAAAAAGTCACCTTGTTATTATAAAAGTTTTCCATTAGGAAAAAAAAAATACATTGTTATTTATGTCCAGATGCTGGGGCAAAGCTCAGTGCACAGCACCGTTGGGTCAGCTCAAGAGAGAGGGTAGTGGGACGGGTCTTGACAGGCAAGACATTGGTCCACTAAGGCCATCCATGGACTTCTGCAGCCCTCCTGACCTGAAAGCCACATGTTTCCCAGCTGTGTTTCCTGTGCTCTAGGTGGACCTGCTTTGGCACTGATGATCTGCAGTGGACTAGATGATATCCAGATGTCCCTTCCAAACCCATATCATTCTGTGATTCTATGATTCTATGTTCCCACCTCCTGAACAGTTTGGTGAGGGTAATGCATTTTCCCAACACAGATGCTCTCCATTTTGTTTGTTAGACTGGCTGCTTAGTACCAATACAAAAATCAAGCATTGATGGAGGATCATGGTCACTTGCATCCAGTCACTTGCAACCAGTATGGACTTCCTTGCTTCAGCAAAAGGCTTTCGTGCTTTAGAAGCTCTATTATGAAAGTCCACCTGATAAAGCAGAGTATATCATCTATGCAAGAGTCAGAATTCTGTCTTCCTTCACTAAGGGTGCTCATCCCTTCTTCTCCATATATAGGAGCTTTCAGTTTTTCTCTTCCACCAGCATCTTACATGGTCCTCTGAAATCCCATCCCTGGAAGTGTTCCCCCATCCCTGGAGGGGTTCAAGGCCAGGCTGGACAGGGCTTTGAGCAACCTGGTCTGGTGGGAGGTGTCCCTGCCCATGGCAGGGGGGTTGGAACTAGATGGTCTTTAAGGTCCCTTAAACCAACCCAAACCACTCTTCGATTCTGTGATTCTATGAAATGTAAGCTGGATGGCAACCATGGAAATATAATAAACACCAGGACACTAAACATGTCATCCCCATGACTTACAGCAAGTTTGTGTTTCGTTCCCTACAGGACACCCCATGGTTCTGCCCTGCCCGAGAGTCTTCATTACGGTTCCCACCACCTGTACTTAGAGACCATCAAAATATAACAGAAAGTGCATTGGATTAAAAAGCAGGAAACACTATCTTTGCTCAGTTCCATCTCTCAAAAAACCTTGTGATGTTCACCAGGAGGGCTGCTATCCTTCGCAAAGTTAATTGTTGTATACAGGTAAGGAATTAATTATGATTTCCCCACTCACGTTCCCTTCAATCCTGATTTCTCTTATACCCACTGCCCTCAGGAGTTAACCAAAGCACTTTATTCCATTACAGGAAACTACCATCCTTCCTCCTTCTTATAAGGACAAATAACTGAGGATTTTCCACAAATATTTTAACCAGTGAACTTAATCCCACTGCAGTTTCTTCAACTGTGGACTTCGGAGAACACTCTGTTTAAAATGCTTCTGAAAAGAGTAAAAATAGGTTTTCGATTCCCATTCATGTCACTTATGAAATATCACCCTTTCAGAGTTGCAAAAAAACATATATAGAATTACACTGAACTTTTAGCAGAACCTTTTTTTGTTCACTCTTAGACATCACTTCAAATGTCAAGGCATGAACAGCAGAATAAGAAACTTAATGCAGATTGGTAAAAAGCACCATTTCTCTCTTCCAGTTGAGGCCGAGGAAGAGGGAAAGAATTCATATTTATAATGTCATGTGGCATGACCAGAGTAAAGAATTTGGGGGGTTTCCGGTAGTAATTTGATTTTTTGAGCTATTTCCTTTGTCAAGTGATCATGAAGGAGACCAGCCTGCCACCAAGCTCAGACTGCAACATAAAAAAGTGATTAAGTATTATTGTTCCTTACAGGAAACTGTGTTTACAGCGGGATGCAGTTTGTGCTGTTCCGACTGAGGTCTGCTCCGAAACATCTGCAGGGGATTGTTTATGCTCCTGCACAACAAGAGGGAGCTTGCAGCGTGGCCACAGACGCCCTGGCCTCATTCCTAGAGAGCTTCACGCAGGTGGCATCCGATAAAGACACCTGACCCTTTGATTTGCCTTTTGCGTCAATAAGTACATGTTTTCAGGAGTGGGGAGGCGGGGAGGGGGGGAAATTCATATGTTTAACTCAAAACTCACGTACGTTTTCTGCCAGCTCAGCCCTTCAGCATCCATAAAAAAAATAAAACAACACCAAAACATCCTACATCGTGGGCTCGTGTTTCAGAAATGAAGCGTCCAATTAAACGAGTCAGTCTTTCCCAAACAGCCGTCTTTCTCCACTTCCATTATAATCAAGTTCTATTATTTTGACAAAACAATATTATTTATTGGGGTTTTTTTTAGGAAACAATAAGTTCTTAGCAGCTGAACCTAAAAGTAAACAGAAGTTGAGGCTGTGGAACAGAAACCCATGGAAATCCAAAGTAACAGTGGCCTTTAGTTTCTTGGTTTAACCCATTCACGCTAGGTGTGGCCCTGAGCTCCTCCTTGTCCTTGGTGCATCAGAAATCTCAGGGACTCCTTGCTTTTCTATTACCACAAACCAGCAGTATCCTACGTAGTTCAGAAGAGGCTGGTGACACCTAAATAGTGACGGAAAATTAGAATTGTGCCCTAATACAAGACTGTAGGGGAAAGGAAGAAGGAGTCCCAGAGTTTCCTTCACAAGCGCCCTCCGTGGTTGACTCCTCTCTGGTCAGGAGAAGATGGATGAGCAGAAGGCACTAGCGTTAAGAGGAAACTTTTCAAAAACGGATGGTTTGTGGAAAAGAGGATGAATTTGAACAGAGCACGACAGCGAGGTGGGAATGTCACCGCCACAAACACGGAGGAAGAAGAGCGTAGCCAAGACACCATGCTCAGCATGGAGCGCGTTGTGTCAACACACAGCTAGGCTGGGCCCCTGCCAAGCCAACCCGAAGGTATCTACCACTAAGCTCTCTTGGGTTGGATTATTTATGTTTTGGTATTAAAATCTGACAAATAAACCTAACAATATTTTTGGCCAGGCTCCAACAGCAGCAACAGCGAGTGTTGTGTTAACATAAGTTACTGCTTACTATGCTGCGACGCGCCTGGCCAAGGGAAGCAGAAGACAATTCCCCTGGACAAGCCACACCAGACGGTGTGGACTGCAGGAGAGAGACTGCCCCATTCCATTCCATCCCCCCTACCATAAAAAAGACATTGAGGTGCTGGAGCGGGTCCAGAGAAGGGCGACAAAGATGGTGAGGGGTCTGGAGAATAACTCTTATGAGGAGAGGCTGAGGGAACTGGGGTTATTCAGCCTGGAGAAGAGGAGGCTGAGGGGAGACCTTATTGCTCTCTACAACTCCCTGAAAGGAGGGTGTAGAGAGGTGGGGGTCGGTCTCTTTTCTCAAGTCACAGGCGACAGGACAAGAGGAAATGGCCTCAAGTTACGCCAGGGTAGATTCAGGCTGGATATTAGGAAAAATTTTTTCACTGAAAGGGTTCTCAGGCATTGGAATGGGCTGCCCAGGGAGGTGGTTGAGGCACCATCCCTGGAGGTGTTCAAAAGACGGGTTGATGTAGTGTTGGGAGGTATGGTTTAGTGATGATGCTCCTTGTTTGTTGTGTGGGTGTCTATTTTTGTCAGTTAGGTTGACAGTTGGACAAGATGATCTTTAAGGTCCCTTCCAACCTAGAAGATTCTGTGATTCTGTGATTCTGTGATTGGGCTTCTTGCAGAAGTTTGGTGACAACGAGGGATGCACCCCCCCTACAGCAAAGAGTATGATGAACAGGATGGGTGGAATCACCAGCATTTGAGTTTTGATAAATCAACAAAATAAAAAGTTAGAAGCAAAACAAGGAAATCTTAGGTCTGGGGGAGAAACAGTCACCGTTTTCCACAGGCACAAAACCCAGGCTACCCACACGCATCCTGGTGTTCTCACTGCCTGTTAACTTCCAGGGCTCGTGAGTGATCTCGAAAACCAACGAAGGAGCTGTCACAATTTTGAGGGACATTGCCATAGAGGTTTGGGTGCAAATGCAAGGGGGTGTCCAGGAAGGGTGACTGCTTTTGCAGCGCAGGCTCACTTATTTGCAGAGAACAGTATATAGTATCGACAAAAACCAAGGTGAAGGATGAAGGCACATTACTTTCTTAGCAGGAGACTCCACAGGTCCTTGGGGATTAGGATCATTTCTATTTTCACTGTCTTACTATAAAATTTCATCATATCCAGGACTCTTTGTACATCCCATGGGACAGTGGTAATGACTGCACAGTTGATGTCACCTCATCTCTTGACAGCATGACTGGCAACCAGTAGTTTGCGAGCTCATGCTTCAATCCATAATTGACCCATTGAACTCACCAGTCCTGGGCTACAAATGAGGTCCGCTTTCATCCTTCCTTCCTTCTCAGTGGCCCATGGGCTTCATGAACCTGTGGGGTAGCTCATATGGGTCTGAAAGACAACAAACACACACAACTCAACACAGAATAACAGAATACCAGGTTGGAAGGAACCTCAAGGATCATCTGGTCCAACCTTTCTTGGCAAAAGCACGGTCTAGACAAGATGGCCCAGCACCCTGTCCAGGCAAACCTTAAAAGTGTCCAATGTTGGGGAATCCACCACTTCCCTGGGGAGATTATTCCAATGGCTGAGTGTTCTCGTGAAAAATTTTCCTGTTATGTCCAATTGGAATCTCCCCAGGCATAACTTGAACCCATTACCCCTCATCTTTTCCACGTGACTCCTTGTAAAAAGGAAGTCTCCATCTTCTTTGTAGCCACCCTTTGAATAGCGAACGTGGTGATAAGGTCTCCCCTAAGGCTTCTTTTCTCAAGGCAGAACAAACCCAGTTCTCTCAGCCTTTCCTCATACCACAGGCTTCCTAGTCCTTGGATCATCTTGGTGGTCCTTCTCTGGATCCTCTCCAGCCTGTCCACATCTTTTTTGTATAGCAGGGACCAAATCTAAACAAAATATTCCAGCTGTTGCCTGACCAATGCTGAGTAGAGTGGGACAAGGACTTCTTTGTCTCTGCTGGTGATGCCCTTGTTGATGTAACCCAGCACCCTGTTGGCTTGCTTTGCTGCTGCAGCTCACTGTTCACTCATACTGACCTTGTTGTCCACCAGGACCCCATCAACATCAACCTCTTGCTTTGTGCCATGGAGTCAGCATACCATGCACATGCCTCCCCAATGTCCCATCCCACACCTCTGGCGAGGAAGTGGCCTCATGCTTTTCCACAGCCATGCAAACCAACTAAGGAATTTCTTGGTGATTTCCAAGGGGAACTTCACTTAGACTTGACCTGAAAACCTCCATTCATTGTGTTACAGTCATCCTCTATGCTGTAGAGATTACTGTAGGGTAACCACAAAGGCTGTAAGAAAAGGGCAGGGAAGAAGGGAAAGGAAAACCATGGAGTCCTTTGGCAAGCACACAAAGGACATCCTTTCTGCCAGAACCAAGAACAAGGGTATGATTTGTGATGAAATCAAATCTCGCTCTTATGAGAAAGTTGTCAGACGGGAAAAGTGCTTTTCAGTAGCTTTAAGAAGGAAGTTGGGGAATTTAAAATTTATTTTCTACAGGTGGAAGGTGAGGAGGAATGAGGTAATGGGCTGCTTAGTCCACCTCAGCCAAGAACTTGATAAGTTTTTTACTTTGAGAGCCTTTATTAGCTTTGCAAACAAGTGTGCCAGCACCAGATCAACCACCAGTCTGGAGAAGGGTCTGGGGAGACCTTGTTGCGGCCTTCCAGGATCTGAACGGGGCTACAAGAAAGCTGGAGAGGGACTTTTTACACGGGCATGTAGTGACAAGACAAGGAGTAATGGCCTCAAACTGAAAGAGGGGAGATTTAGATGAGATATTAGAAGGAAATTCTTTGCTGTGAGGGTGGTGAGACACTGGAACAGGTTGCCCAGAGAAGCTGTGGCTGCCCCATCCCTGGAGGGGTTCAAGGCCAGGCTGGATGGGGCTTTGAGGAACCCGGTCTGGTGGGAGGTGTCCCTGCCCAGGGCAGGGGGTTGGAACTGGATGATTTGTAAGGTCCATCCAAACGAAAGCATTCTATGATTCTATTGCATCCAACCATCGACTGATGCAATTGAAAAAAAAAGTATTTCTGAGGACCCAAATCCTTCTGTGGACACTTTTTCAATATTAAGAAATACTAGAAAGTGGGAGCTCGCTGCGGTGCTTTGTTAGTGTCTTGCGTCACCGCAGCCCAAAAGTGGCTGCAGGGAGAACGTACGGGTAAAAATCCGGAGAGGAAAACAAATATCCCTATTTCTGGGAACGCTGCAGCTACAAAACTTTGTTCTCACTGAGCTTGTGCTACTTCCTACTTCTTGTGGTTTGTTCTCATGCTGTTTTTAACCTCTTCTCAAACCAATGGAGTATTTCTATTCCATGTCCAAAACAAACCAAGGGAAAAAAAACCAGAAAACACAGCACATAACGAAAAACAATTCAACAGAAACCTTTTCATTCCCAAAAGGATTTTAGCCACAATTTAGGTCAATTCTTTTCTTTCCTTTTTTTTTCCCCTAATGAGTTCACATGTTCCTATTTTAACTTTTTACAAAAAAGCAGCACCGTAGTGCCTATAAATAAAGACTAGGCTGTATTTTCCAATTAAATAACAAAACTTGGTTTTGGGAAAAAAAACAAAACACAAACAACTAAAACCACACAAGATAAATTTCTAGCTGGACTTAGTGCTTTAAAGCTGATTTTTCTTATCTCTTTGCTACATCCTCATATTAAGAAAAATGGCCAGATGGGATTGGGAAGAGGATGTGTCCCCCATCCTTTGAGAACACGCAGAACCTGAAGCATAAAGAGGACATATTTTTAAGAGCTATGGGAGGAGCATTTCTTCTTGACCCTTTACATTGAATTTTTCACTTTCACCACAGTGGGATCCTGTACCACCCGCATTCCAAGGACCCTTCACGCTCAGTCCTTGCTGGGCTGGGATGTTCCCGAAGGATGCCTTCTAATTCCCACCTGCTGACTGCTTGCAGGAGACTGCAGAATTTGCTAAGAATTATGGAATTGTCAGAGTTGGAAGGAACCTCTAGAGATCATCTGGTCCAACTCCCCTGCTAAAGCAGGGTTGCCCAGAGCACATCACTCGGGACGGCATCCAGGCGGGTCTTGAAGATCTCCAGAGAAGGGGACTCCACAACCTCCCTGGGCAGCCT